ATTGAAAGGGTAAGTTATTATTGATTGTGATTGGCAGAGTCCTCATAAAATTTGCACCAACTTAATCTCGTGGCAGACAAGGAATAGTGTAATACCACAATTTTGAACATTTCTATGCATGTGTGTAAGTTTATTTTGTTAAAGTATGTGTATGTTATGCTTTGTATTTACATTGGTGTTATCCGTTATGTTTGCATTGGAGTTATACTTTGTGTTTGTATTAATAAATATTTAACTTTGCAAGTTCATGTTACTAAGGGTTGTGAGTGTATGAGTGACTAAGGGACCTTAGTGTGACAATTAAAAGATTAAGAGTTTAAGTGAATTAAGTGACAAAGTAAAGTGACTAGTATGTTACGTTGTTCAAACTTGAAGGACTTAGAGATATAGCTTGAACAAGTTTTTCATGCATGTATTAACATAAAAATAAAGCTTGAAGGGTGTCTTATACATATGCTAACTTAGGAAAAATATCTTGATTAAATTTTTTATCTAGAAAATTCTCTTAGTTAAGTGATCTGTACAAGTGTCTTATACAAGTTGCAATTCTTGGGTTCTTTGATCCTTCTAAGTCGGCTAAAAAGGAAAAAAAGGAGAAGATTTTCTAAGTCATCTTGGTGATATTTTAACCTTGAAAAACATAAAATCAATAAGAGAGAAAACTAAATCTATTAAGAAATCAATTCGGTCGAGAGGAAGAGAGAGTTGGCCGAGAGAAAGGGAAATTTTGAGCGAGTTTGGCTAAGAGCGAGTAACAAGGAAGGAAAATGAGATTTTTAAGAGCATCTAGGGTATTTTCAACACTAGCTAAACCCTAAGATAAGTGTAGCTCCAACTCATCACAAGACATAGAAGTTATAGGATTTTGTGTTGATAACTTTGTGTTCCTATATTACTTGATGATTGATCACTTATGAAGTTATATTTACTTTATATTACATTCATATGTTTATTGATGATTAGTAAGTGTAATCCCAACTACATCACAAGACATAGATGTTATGTGTTTAAGTGATGATTGAACATAGATATTATAGGTTTTGATGTATTTATGTGTTGCTTGATGTTTTACATAGATATTATATTGCTGCGAGTTATGTGTCCACTTTATGATTGATCACTTGTTAAAGATATGTTTACTCAAGGTTGTGCTCATATGTTTATTTGAGGATTAGTAAGTATAGTCTCATATCAACTCACCATAAGATGTGGATGTTATAGAATTAATGTGTTATAGGATTATTGTGCTTATGTGTTTACTTGATGATTGATTGCTTATGATATTGTGTTCACTTGATGTTGCACCTTAAATGATGATATGTTTACTAGATCTTTAGTCACTGAACTACAACTCATCACAAGGTATAGAAGTTCCAAGGTTATAGTATTCATGAGGTTACTTGATCATTGAATACTTGTGGGGATTACTTCATGGTTTCGGTTAAGTGCTTATTGGAGGTTACTTGGTTTTGTATCCATGTGTTTATTAATGATTGAACACTTATGAGGTTATATGGTAATGTATTTATGTATTTATTAGATGACTAAGCATTAGAGATGTCACATGATGGATTCATATTGGAGTAGTTTACTTTATGCTACTTGGTTAAGTGTTCATGTGAATATTTGGTGATGGAAACACTTATAGTGTTACATGATGATTTCAGATTTTGTGATTACTTGAGGTTACTTAGTTATGTCTTTATATGGTTGTTTGATGATTAGATATTTGTTATGTCACTTGAACGTTTCAATTCAAGGGTTTACTTTATGTTGCATGGCTTTATGTTTATGTGTTGACTATGGATTCATGAGTTTACTTGATGTTATATTGTTTAGTGTTCATGTGCTACTTGAAGTGTGCACTTAATTGCATTTACCAAATAAAAATATTTTTATCATGTTTTCAAGCATTCAAAGAAAGGTCATATGTATGTTTTAAAGAAAGGATCACAACTAGACATATTCAAGACGGATTACAAGAGGAATGATCAACGATTTGAGAAAAATATGAATAGAATGTGTCCGAGTACTTTTATGGTTTTCACAAGGATGATTTTCAATGAGGGTTGAATATATATACATTTAATAGGATGCACTCGAAAGATAAAAAATATATTTCAGCATCATGAAAAATGAGTTTACTATAGAAGGCTACACCAAAAGTACTATAGAGAATGTACACAATGAGACAAGAACAAGACGAGAAAGAGCATGGATCAACAATATGCGATAATAGCCTAATCCTTAATCTTATTGCATATACTTTAATTGATTTAGGTGCTACATATTCCTTTATATCATGGTTTTTATTGTGAAAATTGGGAGTGATACTTGAGGCACTTGAAGTTGTATATGGGGTAACTTTTCCATCGAGGGAGATATTGGAATCTAAGGACATGATTGGGGATTGTGAGCTACGAATTGGAGATAATGTTTTGAAAGTTGATTTAGTGGCTTTGAGAATTTAGGACTTTGATGTGATTTTAGGTATGGATTGTTTGTTCAAGAATGATCCATTGATTGATGGTCATGCAAAGAAAGTTGTGCTTCAATGATCGGGGAAGCAACCATTTGAGTTGTGAGCTGAAAATAAATTGAAGTCGGTATGTATTGTCTTGGCAATGACAACTTGGAAGATGATTAGAACCGGATACTTGGGTTTCTTGGTTAATATGGTGGACACCTTAAAGGAAAGAAGGGTGAAATTGGAAGACATTGATGTGGTGAGTGATTTCCCATATGTATTTTTTGAGAGTTTGTCGAAGTGCCACCAAAAAAAGAGATTGGGTTTGAAATTGAGCTGAAGCCGAGAATGGCACCGATTCTTAAAGCATCATAGAGAATGGCAATAAAGGAACTACAAGATTTAAAAACTCAACTGCAAGACCTACTAGACAAAGGTTACATTTTGACCTAGTTATTCACCTTGGGTAGCATCCGTGTTGTTTGTGAAAAAGAAGGATAGAACATTGTAGTTATATATTGACTATTGAGACTTGAATCGGGTTACCATTAAGCACAAGTATATGCTATCTCATATTGATGATTTGTTTGATTAATTAAGAGAGAGCTCGGTATTCTCAAAGATTGATTTACAATCGGGATATTATCGATTGAGTGTTAGAGAAGAGGATGTGAAGAAAAGTCTTATCCACTCTACCATCTTTGGGTCTATTTTTGCAATCCAAAATCTTTTATTTGACATTATTATTATTATTATTGATGAGCTAATAGATTTTTATGAGTGAATTTCATTTGTTGTTATATTTTAGATCCAGTCTTTAATTACTAGAATATTCTTAATTAAAAAAAAAAAAATCAAACCCCATATAATTTTTTTTAAAAAGTAATTTGAAAATATTAAGAGAATATTATTCAATATGCCACTTTAACTCACCCAGATCTTGCCTTTTATGTGAACAAACTATGCCAATTTATGAGTACTCTAACTGATACACATTGGCAAGCTGTTGAAAGAGTTCTCTGGTATGCCCAAGGCACTCTTCATCATGGCCTACAGCTTAGCAAATCTTCTACACCTACTTTAGAGGTTCTACATATGCTGATTGGACTGACTGTTTTAATGATCGAAAATCTACCGGTAGGTTTGCCATATTTTTGGGTAAGAACTCGATCATTTGGTCGGCTAAAAAGCAACAAACAATTGCAAAATCCTCAACAGAATCTGAATTCCTGCCCTTGCAAAATGCTAATATTGACCTGATTTGGTTACAGTCTCTTCTCAAAGAATTAGGAATTCATCTTTAACAACTTCTCATATTATGGCTTGACAACTATAGTGCTATTTTTTTATCATCCAATCTTGTTTTCCGTACACGAACCAAACATATTGAAGGTGTTTTCCACTTTATTTGAGATCAAGTGTTAAAGAAGCTGTTACAAGTGCTATATCTTTCCACCCATGATCAAATTGCAGATATATTAACTAAACTCTTAGCTATTTATCTCTATTTGTACTATGGGACTCCCATCTTTAAATGGGTTGTGAGTTTAAAATTTTAAAGCCTCCCAAAACATGTTTTCGGCCCGAACCCATGCCTTTTGCTTTCCTCACTTCCCATGTTCTGATTTCTTCATAGCCACCTTCCACAAAAGGATTTTTTTTTTCCTACATAGACCTTTATTAATTTTGTTTCTTTTATTTTTTGAATTCCTTTTGTCACCATCTACTGATTCTTGGCTTGTCTATTTTGTAATCAAGTTCAATTTGCTAGACTTGGGCATATGTAAGGAGACAAAAAAGAAAGAAGAATAATCTAAGATTGAAGGCTGTGTTCTTACTAATCTCAAAAGGGTTGGAGAATTTTGCTAGTGAAAATCGGATTGTTTTTGTTAGAAAGGGAAAATGGGATTTTTCCTTAACATTGCAAAACCACCACTTTTATGTCAATATTCCACTACAATAATGTTCTTTGCAACTTTCCATTAATCTATTCCATCTCAAACTTCTTTAGCCTGGTTTTCCAAAGAAAATAATCATACTTCTTTAGCTTGGTTTTCGAAAGAAAAACTAATTGGAGTTTAACAAGCCTTACGGAAGATTGATTATACAGTAATTATAAGCTATTCCCCAAAACATTGTAGTTTCATCATAGGCAATTCATATGGCGATCAGCGAGGCTGACTCTTAGCCTCCGCCGCTAGTTTTGTAGTACTAATTTAACCACCATCTATCTCAAAATCCACAAAATTCTTACTCCAAAATTTTAATCATAAATCAATCCAAAAAAAAAAAAAATTAATCGTTCTGGACTTTTCTTATTTCACAAAAAAGGAAAAAGCAACAACAAAAAATGGACATGCTTTTTCTCAAGGAAAAAAATAAAAAATAAAAAAAGGCAAATGCCTCGCGCAAGTTACCCCATACTTCGTCTTTCAAAAGTATGAAAGATAAAAGACAAGCACGGGCTTGCATTTGAGCAACAATTGGTCCAACTTCTTATGATAACGTGATGGTAGACTTCATAAACTAGCCATTACTGGAAATGAAACAAGCGGACACAGTCATAAACTGAGCAAAATGCTTGCAGCGATGTTATGAGCAAGAGCAAGATGGCAGCTACCAGTGTGAGAAACTTCCATGAACCAAACACATACAGCTTCATGAACATTTCAACCTTAACTTTAAATTGTCCATCATGATAATTGTTAACATCTTGAATCACCGTATCCAAGAATGGAACTTTTGTCAATCTAATAGACCTGCTCATACCATTCCACATGTTGGCCACCTCTTCATCATTCGTCGAATGGCTCAAAATAATGCCTTTTTCTCTAAGCATTTTTGCATCCTCGGCACTATCAATAATCCCATTCATCAATTCTGTGTAACGTGTAAAAACCATTGGACCTGATGAATTTGATGCTTCATATGCTACCAAGTTTCTCAAGACTACATCACTATTTACATCCAAACTAATCCTCGGTAGGTAAAGTGTACATGTCTTCTTGTCGAAGTTGATGGTTGAGATGCTTCCATTAGTGGGAACGAAACGCACCCCGCATTTCGAGAGCTGACTGACTGAAGGAATTGTGATTTCTTCAACCAATAGTGGTTGGTGAAAGCTAGAACCGAAACTTTGAGATTCAGAAGAAGCATTAGGTTGATTCACGGTTCCAAACCCAAGAAGATTGAGGAAGGTTTTCCAAGGCAATTTGATTATCACTTCACATGGTGCTGATTTTAGCAATTTGTTGAGGAAACTTGCAGGACCTATCTTTTGATTTAAGAGAATTTTCCAGATCTCAATCAGGGGCTGTTTAATGTAGTTAGAGTCAACTGAAGATTCTTCGTTGTCTTGTGAGGCTTTGGAATCATCCTTAACTTCTTCAGGTATCTCGAGTGATTCTTCCACCTTGGGCACGATAATGTTGTACAAAAAGTCTAGCAAGTGAGCATGGTCAGAGACTTTAACTCCTGACGAGCTTTCCACTGTCTTGAATGGAGAGAGCTCTTTACATGATCCCCTTAACATGGAGTACAACATTTCTTCGGCGGATTCTAATGACAGAAGTTGAAATTCTAGCACTTTCCTCAATATAAATAGTGGAATTTGATTCTCCAGCATCACTATATCTCGAAGAATTGCATCATGGATTGATTTCCTCCGGAAATAATCAAACAGATGAGACATTCCTGAGGGAACTTTGGATAGCATTTCAGGGTCACTGAGAGCACTAACTTGCAGGTACTCAATCAAGAATGATGCATCAATGGCCATCATCCATGCTAGTGTTTGACCATTGATGTTTAAATACTTGCTGTAGCATGCACGAATCTTGAATTCTAGCTTCATTAATTGCTCAACAAGATCTTGAAATTTAAGACCTTGAAGCAGCTTTTGACATCTTTTTGCCGCGGAGAGCTTATATCGGTCCATCTCATGTAGCTCAAGACGTGAGTAATGGTATGGACCAAGTGAAAGTTGATGTGGAGTATAAGAATCTGGATGATTAGACATTAGGGGTTTGGGGACACTAAAAATGCATCCGGATATTTCACTATCGTCTTCAAGCTGATCTGCTTCTATTGTTCGACGGATGTTGGCGACCCATTGAAGCTCATCGAAGTCGAAACTGGTACCACATGATAGGTTGGTTTGGAGAGGAGACATGTTTGCTTTGGTAATGGAAAACTTTCGGTACTTCTTTTTTATAGCTTTACTTATTTATGTAGTCCTTTAGTGGGCACAACTCACAGGCTTTATACAGAAGTACTGCTACTACTGTAACATGAGTTTATGAAGCATCAGGATGTTGCATGCAATTTTCCTTGGTTACTTGTCCAACCTAAACAATTTTTCTCTGATGGATACATATAACCGAAAAAGCAAAGAAAAGGAAAAACCAATTTTGACCTTGGCTTTGCCGTACGTATTAGTGAATATGGTAGCCTGGGTAATGATGTGGATATTAAATAGTTTAATTAGATCATTAGTAGTGATTGTCTCTTCAGATTTCGAATTTCGAATTTTTCTTCTTTTTTTCTTTTTACAAAAAAACTATTAATAATAATAAGATAAGTGTTAAAAAATAAAAAATAAAAAATAAAAAATCCTGCTATTATTCTCCCCTTTCGAACGTTGTGGCATTTGATTTTTGGTCTCACAACATCTTGTATACTCATATTATTTACTTTTCATCATCTCAACCATTGCTTTTATATTGTTTGTTGAGGTAATTGCACTAACATTCATTTTTTTTCAATTAGATATATAAATTTTAATATTTTCCATTTGAGTATGCTAATTTTTTTAAAACTATGTACCAATCAAGTATTTTTTTCGCTTTTTTTTTATTAATTGATAACATGTCGATTACCCTCAAAATATTAAATTCAATTTTATTCTTTTTTTTTTAATCAAGTATATGAACTTTATTGTTTTTTATCTGAGTACTTTAATTTTTTTTAAAAAAACTTTCAATCATGTATTTCAATCAATTTTTTCGTTAAGTGATGACGTATTTGAATAAGAAATTATAATTTTATAATTTTTTTTTGTTGAAGAGAACTATCTCTCTAAATTATTTTACCAATTTAAAAATTGACAAAAAAATAAAATAAAATAAAAATATTACTTTTTATATATAAAATCTCAAACTAAACTCGGTTAAGTTCCTGCTAAAAAAAAAAAAACACTCGGTTAGCTTTAGGAATGAAAATTAGAGAATACATATGAATTTTTTGATAAAAACATCTCACATTTATGTTTCTTTCAACTTTCATGTTCAAAATCTAATAGAGTTTTTTTTTTTTTAAAAAAAAGCTGTAAGCCTAACTCGAATTTAGTTCAAAATTTTATAAACAAAAATATAATATTTTTTAATTCTTTATCAAACTTTAAATTGGTAGAATAATTTGAGAAGAAAATTCCTTGCAACAAAGAGAGAGAGAAATGTAATTTGTTATTTGTACACACTATTAGTTAATAAGAAAATTGACAAAAATACTTGATGGACGAGTTTTAAAAATATTGATATACTCAAATAACAAAAATTAAAATTTATATACTCCATTGGAAAAAATATATATATAATTCGGTATTTTGAGAGTAATAGACACATCATTAGTTAGTATAAAAATTGACGAAATACTCGATTGATAGTTTTGAAAAAATTGATATACTTAAATAAAAAAATATTAAAGTTTATTTATGTGATCGATTGAGAAAAAAATGAAAATTAGTGTAATGATAATGTAATTATCCCATTGTTTATTCAATAAAAATGCAAAATCATAAACTTTCCCCAGCGTGAATTGCATGCCTAGACACACCACGCTAATTGTCCCTTTCTGTTATCAAATAACAAAACAAGTAAATTATAAATTAGTCCCTCGTGTTTTGTAAAATAATAAAATAATTCTTCTAGTTTCAAAAATTAATTAATTAGTCCGTTTTTGTTCATTTCATGTTTTTTTCAATAAATAGAAAATAAAAAAGAAGTAAGTAAATAATATAGAAAGATTGATGAGAAACAAAAAAAAAGAGATTTTTTTACTATAAAATAATATTAAATTAAAAATATTCAATGCTGATTAAGAAACTAATTAATTAGTTTCTTAAACTATATGGACTATTGAATTTATTTTGCAAACATTGGGGGACTAATTTTATAATTTACTCATACGAAAACAAACTAACCGTTTATCGTTTGTGATGGTGTGAATCACGAGACCTAAACAATGATAACGCGTAATTACTGAACACATCATTGATTATTGACTTGCGACCATGGCTTTGTTGGTGGTGGCCGGTGGGCTGCCTGCCTCCTGTGAACTACGAATTTTCTTTGCCAATGCCAATATAGCTAAACGTGAATATTGTTTTAAGCAGTTTTTTTATTTAGGTTTCAAGAAAAATAATAAAAAGTTCATACATTTAAACGATCGTGAAAGATAAAGTTTCATAAAAATAGAGTTATCGTTCAATTTCTTTTTAAAGATAAAACATTGATTGTAAAATTTTTGATTAATTAGGTTATTTATACAATCAGAAAAAACTACGATCACTTTAATATGTTTTCACATAAAATTATTGTTCAATTATAATATATGATAATTTCTTATATAGATCTAATTATGTGTCAATTTTTCTATTTTAATTCATAAGTTGATTAATGGATATTTTCTAACTATTCTAGAAAATATTGTTTGTAAATTGAAGAAATCTAAATCTTTCATTAGAAAGATCAGTGGTCCACAAGGATGTCAATTTTTAATATTCTGTATCAAATTCATGTTGGCTTTGAAATCTTTCTTGCTTTCAGATCGAATTGCAAGCACATATCCAAAAGAGAGATTTGTCATATGCAATAGATGAACTTGTGGTTTTCATTATATATATCAAGAAAACAATTCAGATTTGTAGAAGATGGTTTTGACATCCTTTTCATATCACACCTAATTTCTTGTGCTAAAAAAAATTGCAAACCCCAACACATGTTTTTGTCCCGAACCCATGCCTTTTGCTTTCCTCACTTCCCCCTGGTCTGATTTCTTCATAGCCGCCTTCCACAAAAGGATTTTTTTTTTTTCCTACTTAAAACTTTATTAATTTTGTTTCTTTTATTTCTTGAATTCCTTTTGTCACTCTCTACTCATTGTAGGCTCGTCTATTTTGTAATCAAGTTCAATTTTGTAGACATGGGCATATGTAAGGAGACAACAAGGAAAGAAGAATCATCTAAGACTACAACTATATTTAAGAGGACTGAAATTGTGGTGGTTGGATTGACATGCAATTTCAAGAAGAGCATGTATGTTTTGCCTTAAAAAAAATAAAAGAAAAAAAAATAAAAAAAAAGAAAAAGAAAAAGAAAAAGAAAAAAAAAAGAGAAAATATCAAAGGTCTGTGTTCTTACTAATATCTAAAGGGTTAGAGAATTACCACTAGAAAAATACTAATTAGCGACGGAAATTAGTGACGAATTTTAATCCGTCGTTATTTAGCGACAAATTAGCGACGGATTAGAGACGGACTACAAAAGGTTGTGTGTTTGCGATAATTAGCGACGGACTAACGAGAGATAATTAGGGACGACAAAAAATTCGTCGCTAAATAAGACGAGGAAAAAATCGTCCAAATTAGTGACGGATTAGTGATGGTTTTGTGGTCTCTAAATGGAAAAATTAGTGACATAATTTTTTTCGTCGCTAAAATTTTTGAAATTTAGTGAAGTTAAAATCTATCGTTAATTTGTGCCTTTTTTTAGGGAAATCCCCCAAAATGGCCCAAAATTAGCAACGAATTTTTGAATTCGTCGCTAAAATTAGGGACGAACTTCAAGTCCGTTGCTAATTTAAGCCTTTTGGGGAGGGGGAATTCCCCCAAAATGGCTCAAAGTTAATGACGGATTTTGAAATCCATCACTAAAATTAGCAAAGAATTTTGGAATCCATCGCTAAAATTAAAGTCCGTCGCTAATTTGTGTCTTTTTTGGGGAAAAACTCCCCCAAAATGGCCCAAAGTTAATGACGGATTTCAAAATCCGTCGCTAAAATTAGCGACGGACTTCGAGGTTGATATTTTGGGGGAAAATTTCCTCCCAAAAACCCAATCGAGTAGCGACGAAAAAAAGAGCAATCCTACGACAAGATTAGCGACCGATTGTCCGTCACTAAATTTAGCGATGAGCTGCGTATTACGTCGTAAAAATTTAGCAATCGGTAAAATAGCGACGAAATATGCTTCGTCGCTATTTGCAATTAGTGACGGAATTGGAGTGTTTAGCAACAGAATAGTCCATTGCTAAACTCAATTTTTTTTATAGCGAATTTTACTAGTGAAAATCTTTTTTTTTTTTTTTTGTTAAAAAGGAAAAGTGGGATTTTTCCTAAATAATCTAGCGAGTACTCTTTTACTATTTTTGGTAGAGGGAGAGAGCAAGAAAGAGAGCTAAGAGAGAAAGGCTTGAACCTTGGAATGAAAGGGTATATACGGTAGTTGGGCGCTTATGAATGGTGGAAATGAAAAGTGGCTCTAATTACATCCTAACATGATTGACATATTAAGAAATGACCTAATTAGCTAAATGTGTCAAATTAAAAAGCAAATGCAAAATTGTTTTTTTTTTTCATCTTTAAGTTTATTTTCAATTTTATTTATCTAAATTCAATGAATGGTGGGGAGTCGCGTCAATTTAGTATCGGATGTAATTACATCCTAACATGATTGGCGTGTTAAGAAATGACCTAATTAGCTAGGTGTGTCAAAATAAAAAATAAATACAAAATTGTTTTTTTTTCATCTTCAAGTTTTTTTCAAGTTTATTTGTCTAAATTCAAAGAATGATTTTTTTTTTTTAATTATGGAATCGTATTAAATTAACTTTGGCCCCCAAGCTTAGAAGTATCGTCAATTTAGACTCGGATCCAATTAAAATCTTAATATGATTGGCATGTTAAGGAACAACCTAATCGGCTAAAGGTCCTTTTTTTTAACGCGAATGCTTGAATAAAATAGGCTTGACCTAACTCTTTATTTGTTTATTTATTTATTTTTTAATATTTTGTATTATTGGGTAAAATATATAGAAACCATCATCCATCCCTAACTCGTTGGACCGACATCATAACCAAATGAAAATCCATTCATTTAAATAAAATTTATAACCT